TGTTCCACTTTGTTCATTGACTTTTCAAACTCTGGATCTCTGATGAGCCGACGGATTTGAGGACCGTCAAAGATACCAGCTTTTAACTTCACTATGGTTACTCCCGGAAATGTCTGGCACATGTAATTGAAGCAGCCACCTTCCTTGTCTAGAGCTTTTGTGAACTGCTTGATCAAGCCAAGCTTGATGTGCAGTGGTGGGAAGAGTATCCTGTCTCTGTCCACCAGAGGGCTGTTGATAACGTTACTTGCTCTGCAAGGCACTAGTTCCTCTCGCACAGGCCAGTCCTTCTTCGTGTAATGGTGAGCAGTGTCCCTACTGTCCCACATGCACAGAAAACATGGGTATTTGGTGAACCCGGATTGTTGCCCCAACAAAAAATTCACCATCTTCAGGTCGACACAAATAACCCACTTATGCTGATCATAACGAATCATCTCCAGCACATACTTCACCGCTTCATACTTCTCCTTCAGTTTAGTAGAGTGAGCAAGGGGCACAGAGGCAAACTGGTTGCCGTTGTGCAGTAGAACACATTTCAGTGACCGCTTGCTGCTGTCAATGAACAGTCTCCAGTCTTCGGGCTTGTACTGCGGCACTCCCAGGTGGTGCAGAAGCTGTGCAATATCTGTGCAGTACACCAAGTCCTGCACCTCCGAGAAAAATTGGAGGTACTCTTGATGCCTGTTGCGGTACAGGGTGATGCGAGCACAGCCAGAGAGGAGGTTTTTTTTCAATCTGGATGCCAACAGTTCAGCAGAGGCCTTTGACAAGCTGAGGTCGCAAACTAGATCATTTAGCTCCTGTTGGGAAAAAAGCTGTGGAGTTTCATCGTCAACAACTGGCCATTCTTCTTCTGTTTCCTGATCTTCATCACTGGAGGATTCGTCATCACTGATGTCTTGAAGTTTGTGAAACACAGGTACTGGAATATCATCACAATGAGCTACAAGACGACGTGCGGATTGCAAATCAGGATACTCGAGGCTGCTTCGGTTCTTTCTGTTTATCCCAGTCAGATCGATGCTACAGAAGTAGCAGTCAGTGTCATGGTTTCTCTGCTCCCGCCAAACCATGGGAATTCCAAACTTCAGACACGTCTTCTTGCCCTTGGTCCACTGACGCAGATACACGGTGCAAGCCTTGCATACCATGTGTGGCGCCCAATCTTTATCCTGGTCACCAAGTTTAATACCAAAATAAGCATGGTAAGCACGCTTTATGAAACATGTGACTTGATTCCTGTTATGAACAAGTGTGTATTCACCGCAGATATAGCAAAATACGTCGGGTTTATTTTTACAAGATCTTCTCTTGGAAGCCATGTCGTTCGCTTGCGATTCGTTTGCAACTGATACCTATACTAATGCAATCTGCTATATGGCTCAGATTTGGAAAATGCTGACGTAACTATCCATAGTTATACACAGCCTCGTCCGGGCATGTCTGCGATTGTCTGATCACGTGACTGTAGTTACGTGATTTAATGCATTGAACGTGTGTGTGTGTGCATAGGGGAAACATAAAAATACCAATTAATTAAAAATTGCAAATTCCTTATAGTGATGAAGTGATTAAGAACAAAGCATCACATACAGCGAAAATACCTGGGACTGTACACAAAAAAGTGAAAATGAAGATATGGCCATAGCTTAGAAAGTTGACCTGATCTAGAAAAACCAATGTGATATTTGGATTCAGGACATCAAAATTTCCATAAATCAGCCGAAAGACCTTAGGAAATTTTTTGGGTGTTGACCAGTGTAATTAGCATACCTGAATATGAAAGTAATGTTGAGGCAAGTTTATCGTTGTATTTCTTCAACATCTTAATTTTATTTCTATATACTTCAACTTTGACTCTTAATCTTTTAATTTTTTTGTTGTAGTTATATAGAACACTTCTGGTAGTTTTTAATGATATATCTAATTTTTTAGCTTTCCTTTTCAGGCTTCTAGGTGTCAATGCATCAATACCAGTCTGTAAAATTATTCATTTTCCTTTCAACAACTCATATTAAGTATTTTGACAATCATTTATAATTCTGGTTATAGTTAGAGAAACATGTGTTAAAATACTAAATTACATTTTTCACTATTTTTCATTTATTAAATGAACCATCATACATACAAACCAATATAACAATTGATGTTGATGGAACTGCAACATTTTCTAAAGATGCAACATTTTCTGTCTGAAGTTTGAATATTACACATGAATGAATGTATGCATCAAAGTATGTTTGGTAGATTCATCATAAACTTTGTGAAATAAATACCTTGAACATGTACTTACATGTGTATCTTTTTATTGGCATAAAATAAAAAAATAAATATTAACTGTAGCGCATGCAATCAGTAATACATCAATCTAAGTAAATTTTATATTTAAACAAACATACTGGTTCATCAGTTGAGTTTGTCGCCATTATTATTGGAGATTGCATTTCAGATAGAGTATCTGCATGATTATTTGATAAAAGCTGAAAAAGATAAATATTCAATATACTTGATTATGTGATTTGCAGGAACAAATATCTAATTAATATACTAACTATAATGTGTTAGTGTCATGCAATTAATTAATTAGTGATTCATTTTTCATGATGCACCAATAATTAGTTATTTTTTTAATTTAATCTTAATGTTAGTTTAATTTTTTTTTCAAATTATTTAAATTAGAAATTTTTTATTTGTTATAAAAAGAACAAAACCTTTGGAAATACTGTAGGAACTGAAGTTGTTAAGCAGCATTTTAGAACCTACTTTGTAAACGCATTATTGTAAAAAGAGCCTGCTGCATATGAAGCTCTACTACAAAAATGTGTAATATGATTTTTTATATTCATTTCCCACTGTATTTTTTGACTGTCATCTTTTGGTAGTCTATTCAGTTTTATTATTGAAAAAAAAGCTTAACTATTTTCAGTATTTTATTTTAAAATTTTATTATTATTATATTAATTATACATACCTATGTAAAGTTACGCCGATATCTTTATAAGACCCATGACATTGGGATATTGAGCACATGGGCATGGTGTTAAACTTAATGTATATAAAATAATTAAACAAATAAGAAAATGACGGACGATAATCACTAAGCAACCGGTAAATAACTATTTACTTTAACTTAAATTCACTTTTCAACAATTGTTAGATTTACCTTGATGTTATATATATATATGAAAAATGTATATATATATAACGCGTCTGCCATATCCATATTATATATATCCATGATATATATGTATCATTCTACGTAGATAATATATGATAATAGATGCTATTAATAATTAACTGACATAGATTAATATAACAAAAGTAAAACTTTGGAAAACACTGACAATATGGTTTTTTTTTTAAATTTTAGCACTCCCTTCCCTAATAAATACGTTGCTAACTTACTTTGTTTTACCATTTGAGAAGTGCATCAAGGTGGTTGCCGGTGTGTTCTTAACATATGGGCATCTTCATTTCGTGTCTCCTTACCAAATTATATATAATACAATCATAACAAAGACAACAATTTGAAACGTTTATGTTTGTAATTTTTTATATGTGGACGGTTTTTTAACTTCTGTCAAGGTCGGCTTCGGAGTTTTTCAACCGCAAAAAATTAACTTGAGAAAAAGTAAATACTTTCAAACGTTTATTATTTTTTTTTATTACAATTAACAAACGTTCAGTTTGTTAATTTTATTACAATTAACAAACGTTCAGTTTGTTAAAAAAAAATGAAAAGTATAGCAAATTAATGCTTATCTTTTTTGTTTAATATTTTAAATCTTTAATGAATCATTAAAGTTTAATGCTTATTTATATGATAATCTATAATAATATAATATAGAAATATAATAATAGTTGGTGTTATTTGTGTGTTGGCTAGTGTTAGAGTTAGGGAACGTTTGTTGAACAAAGGTTTGTTAACTTTAGTTAGGGAACATGTAGAAAAGTTGAATGAATTTTTGAAAAATAAATATTAAATAAAATTAAACAGTTTTTGTTCTGTCACCCTCTTATCTAAAGAGATAAATTAATTAAATTCTAGAGTTTAATCCTAATGCTTTACTTAGTCTACCAATGTACGTAGTCAACTTAATGACCTAATGAATTATTGAATCTTTTATTTTTGATAGTGGTCACTTGATTTTAGTACTATTGTCATTTTTGGCAGTTACACTTGATTCAACTAAGTTTTGTCCAAAATATCAAGGAACCTACACAGGCTCTGTTTTTTTTATAGCCTGCTCTGTGTGTTTGTGTGCATGTGTGTGTGATTTAGGTGCCTAGTAAGTGCCATAATCCAACTGTGCTAGTTCTAATTTTTTTAATTTGGCTAGGACTGAATGATGTGTTCAGGCAAGCCTGTGCGTGTTTGCACAGTTAAATGGCACGTTTTGAATATTTTATCATCTTATTCCTGTTTTATAAAAAAACTAGCTTTGGCTGCACATCAAAAGTTACTTTATTTTGGCTGCATATAGAAAGTATATTTATTTCAACTAATATTTTTATTATACCTAAATGGATAAACAAAAAAGTATGTTCTATATAAGTGTCAACTTGCACATTGGTTGATTCTTTAAACGTTATAGATAATAATAAAATTCATTTTTATTTTCTGAATGTTGGCACTTTTTACATTTTCTGTTGTCTCAGTATGTTGTCTCACAGAATATTTTGTTCGACTTGTGATGGAAATGTATACGGATACTAAGACTCTCGTCAGCACAACAGTTGGAAACACAGATGCATTTGACATCGGCATTGGAGTTCACCAAAGCTCGATTCTCAGTCCACTGTTATTTATAACTGTGATGGAAGAAATCACAAAACCGATACGCACTGGTGACATTTGGAATCTAATATATGCTGATGATATCATTTTAACAGCCACGTCTGAGCAGAATGCAGCACAGATGTTTGAAGATTGGAACACCAGACACGCCGATCATGGATTCAAAGTCAACATCAACAAAGCCAAAGCAATGAACACTGGTGAACCCATCCAATCCACAGTTACTGGACGATGGCCCTGTTCAGCTTGTAAAGCTGGTGTAGAAAACAATTCAATCAAGTGTCAGCAGTAAAACCAGTGGTGTCACAAACGTTGTTCAAAAATAATTGGTAATTTATCTAAAGTGTCCAATTTTGTTTGTCCTGCTTACATCAATCCACAACAACAAATTCGAAATAGCAATGTTTTTGAAGCCATTAAGTCACATTGTTTCAATATCTAAGAGATGTTCTGGATTGTACTGGACCAGCTGAAGCTGCCGTTCGAGCACGCATACGTGCAGTCTGGAATAAATGGCATCTCCTTGCCTCTGTATTGATGCAACGTGACATCCCACTACCACTACGATCAAGACTTTATAAATCTGTGATACGTCCGGTGTTGTTATATGGTGCAGAAACATGGCCAATGACAACCAGACTGGAACAACAACTTCACCGAACCAATATGAAACTGCTCTGATGGATTCAACAAATTAGTCTGAAGGACCACATCAAATCTACCGAAATCCTGCGTCATGCTGGTTTAGATCATATAAAGGACGAATGCCGTCTGCGGTGGTTTGGTCATGTCAAACGAAATGGAAACAGTACCATAACTTCTCTTGCAGATGTTGAAGTACCTTGCACACGTCCCAAAGGCCGTCCAAAGAAGTTCTGGTCGCAAACAATCGAGCAAGACATGAAAGCTCTAAATTTAAATGAAATGGATACAACTGATCGTCTAATTTGGCGCAAAAAGTTGACGGTAAAGAAAACAACGTCCTACCTCGGGAAACTGGGTCTCTGGACGCTAAACGAAGATTGATTTATTGATTGATTGTCTCTGTATGGCAAACAAAACTATGAAAAACTTAATTTACATAGGTGGGTAGTGTTGGTAAACCAGGTTCAGGCAAACTTGCATATACTTTGCCTATGCAAGCAATCCTGAGCCAAAACTGGAGTGTGTATAGGGCCCTTTAGAATTAAAAATTGGAAAATAAAAAGCTTGTGGAAAAAGTTGTTTTAAAACTAAGTTTTTTTTGTCAACAAATTGTCTCATCAGTCTTTAACTTAAATGTTTTTAAATATTTGCTTTTGGTTAATTTGGAAAAAAAGGGCATTAAGACATTTTCTAAATCAGTCAATCAGTTAAGTTATAAGTTATTTCTGAATTCAGAATATTCTTGAATTCATTTTTTGTCAAGTCATTTCCTACTGATGCACAAATTGGAATCAGCTTCTTTATGTTCGAGAGTGTTACATGTAAACTTGTTGCGATTTTTGTTTGTTTAATTATAATTTCGTTGAATCTATGAAAAATTTTCTGTTTTTTTTTCTGTTTTCTATTACGGTGTTTTGTTTGTTCGCGGGGTACCCATTTGAACAGAAGCTATGCTTTTTCGGGTATCCTTTTCATGTTTTTTTTTCATGAATAAACCTGTTAAAAAAAGATGTTTTCTCTATTGGTAATTATCTTTTAAAAACATCTTAGTTTTCATATGACTTGACCAACTAACATGTTTTAATGAAAATATTTTGTTGTCAATCTGATTATTGTCGTCTGATTATTTAATAGTTTTAAGCACACATCACATCAGCTATTAATTTTGAAATAGAATTTGATTTTTGTAGTGACACTCAGCATGCTGACGACGTGTTTGGTCATATCTATCCAATATTTTTGTTTTTGACATTGTATCTAAATTTAATTCTGTTAAGATGGTTACTGATACTGAGGTGCTAATGTTAAATGTTTTGTTGAAGTGTTCTATTGATAAAATTAAGAAGGCCTTTAAAGTCTTTTTGATGACCACAACTATTTTTGATCCTGTTCTTTTATATCTACTTGCTAAACTTGTTATTGCCTTTTTATCAGTTATTAGTTAATTCTTCATTTAGTCAAGCCGTTTTTTTTGCATTAAAATGACATATAATTATTCCGAAGTTTTAAATCTGTGGCGGATATTAATGATTCTAGTAGTTTTTGACCTGTATCTAATTCACCTTTTCTTTCTAAGCTTTGTGAACGTTTTGTGTTTTTTGTTTATGTGATTATTTTATGCAGAATAATTTATTTCCAATAATTTATTTCCAAAATTTCAGTTGGGATATAAAACTTATCATTCAACTGAAACTGTATTGTTGAAAGTTGTTGATGATATCTTGTTGCATGTTGATGATATGAATGTTAATTTTCAAGCTCTTCTTGATTTAAGTTCTGCTTTTAATATGGTGCGTCATGGTATCTTAATTCATCGTTTTAGGTAATCTTTTAGTGTATTTGGAGTTGCTTTTAGTTGATTGTCATCTAGTTCATAGAAGGCTTGGTTTGAGTATTTGTTTTTGGTGTATGTTGCTGATTTGAATACTCTAGTAGAGTTTTTGAATATTTATATTCAGATATATGCTGATGATGTTGTAATTTATTGATGCTGTGCCTTCTAAGGTTGTCGGAGGTATGGAGTGCATAAATTTTTGGTTGAAATCTTGTTCTTAGTTCGAATGAAACTGAAATATGGGTTGGTTCTAGAATATCACTAAATTAGTTTGAATGAAATAGTTGTGTTAGGTTCTATCATTAAATTATCATGTTTAGTTAAATATATGGGTGTTATGTTAGATATTCAGACTTATTCGTTGGATGCAACGAATTATTCTAAAGGACCACATCAAATCAACCGAAATCCTTCGTCGTTCTTGTTTAAATGATATAAAGGACGAATGCCGGCAACATCGTCTGAGGTGGTTTGGTCATGTCAAAAGAAGTGGAAAAAGTGCCATAACTTCTCTTGCAGATGTTGAAGTACCTGGCACACATCCCAAAGAAGTCCTGGTCGTAAACAATCGAGCAAGACATGAAAGCCCTAAATTTAAATGAAATTGATACAATTGATCGCTTAATTTGGCGCAAAAAATTGATGGCACAGAAAACAACGTCCTACCTCGGGAGAACTGGGTCTCTGGACACTAAACGAAGATTGATTGATTGATATGTTAGATAACCATGTGGAATTATTTACCATTTGAACTGTTCCATTGAATTTTTAGATGTTTTTCGCCGTTGACTTACTTTTTACCTTTATATATATATGAAGATAAAATTTGTGGCTGACAACCTTTTTTACTTCTCAGGCTGCATAAAATATGGCTTGGCGAGCCGCATGCAGGCCATAGTTTGCTCACACAATACTTTTAATTATAAGTATTTGTTTTTATTATTAACTTTATTAACATTTTGTGTTGAATAATCATAATGGAGAATGGATCATTACAATTTTATGACAATATTCATAGTTGTTTTTGTTATGTTTATCAGTCTGTATTTTGTTGTACATTTTTTGTGTATAAACTATTTATTTTAAACTTTTTATTTTTTGACAGATATTAAACCATCTAAAGAATGCCTAACGATCATTCCCACCATCATCATAACCACCACCATCATGAGCTGAATGATTCCACTAACACATTGCGTCAGGATGTGGTTTGTTGTGTTTATACTTGCATACTTATGTTTACTCAGAAGTAAATAATAACTGAAATGTGAGGATGATTGTAAAAATAGCTGATTTAAAAAAAAGTTTTATGAATTACCTAGAATTGATTATTGTAACTCACTCTATTTGGGATTCTGATTTCACTTCCTACCTTTTAACTAAAGCCATCAATTCTGCTGCTCGCTTGGTTTCTCATGCTCCTTCGTTTTCTCTTTTTAAAACTATTATTACATTGGCTACCTTTTAAACATAGAATTGTATTTAAGCTATGCACTTTGATGTTCAAATCTCAATCTTACAATTGTCCTAAATATCTTTTTGATCTTTTTTCTAAACCTAAATGCTCTGGTCTTAGATTTTCTTCTGATGCTCATTATTTCATAATATTTGCTAAACACTTGTGTGCTTAATTTGCTTTTGCCTTTCGTTTTTATGGAATTCTTTACATATTGCTCTCACTTCTTCGAAATCACTTTCATTATTTAGGGCTGGTCTTCAAACTTTTCTGTTTAAAAATTTTTTAAATTTGTTGACTGAATGATTAGCTGTTAAATTGTTATATCAGAATTTTTTTTGGTTGTTGTATTTTTTCTATTATTGTTTAATTGGTTGCTTGATTTTTTGCAGTGGCATAACAAGGGGGTTAGGTTTAATATTCAATATATTATTTTATCTATTATTTTAATTATATTTGAAATTATTGGAATTAATCACGTTTTTAATGCATTTTATATCACTACATTTTTCATAACATCGGTTGTGCATAATTAATACTGTTAGTGTTTTATCAATGTTCTAATCATTTGTGGTATTTATCGCATCATCGGCTGCTAAGTTTGAGAACTTTTTAAATTTTTACCCATTTTTTTATTAGTTTGACTTATTTATTTATCTTATTTAATTTTATTTGTCGTGACTCATCTCATATAGAAGGACGAAAAGATGACAGCTAGTAACGACAACCTACTGTCTACAACTTTTGACAAGAAAACCATCGACAACCACAAACCAAATCAAAAACATCATGATAGTGACAAGTTGAATACACCTTTCGTTGCGGCAACATGGAGCGTTAGAACGTTGTACCAGACTGGGAAATTTGAGAACGTAAAACAAGAAATGAATAGAATGAATCTCGGCATCTAGGTTTGAGCAAAATTAGGTGGAAGAAATCAGGTGTCATTACTTTTGAAGATGGCTAATTTTCCTACTCTGGCGGTGATTCACACGAACGAGGAGTAGGTGACTGGGAAATTTGAGAACTTAAAACAAGAAATGAAAAAAATGAATTTCGACATTCTATGGTTGAGCGAAACTCGGTAGTAAAAATCAGGTGTCATTACCTTTGAAGATGGCAAATTTATCTATTCTGGAGGTGATTCACACGAGGAATAATAAAAAAAAATAGGTGTAATTGTAATTTTAAACAAAGAATTGTCAAATATCAGATAGAGTTTTGTTAGTCAAAATACGCGCAAAAGCTTTTAACCTTCCTGTTATTCAAGGTTATGCGCCAACGTCTGAATGCAGTGAAGAAGACCTTGACGCTTTTTACAGATATCTTGGTGATGCTTTAAAAATTTGTAAATCTCAAAAAGTTGTTATTACAAAAAAATACATGACGTGGTTGGTCCTCACGGGACACTTAAAAGAGATGAAAGGGATAGGTAAAAGAGATGAGAGGAGAAAATTTGATTGAATGGTGAGTTGAAAATGATCAAATTAATACCAACACATGGTTTGACAATCAGCCAAGGCGAAAATATACTTGAAAGAGTTCCGGAGACAAGGTAATAAACATGATTGATTAGATTACTATAAATAGACGATTTCGATACAAAAGTTACCCTGGAGCTGATTGTAGCAGTGATCATAACCCAGTTGTTTGTAAAATCAGGATAAGGTTAAAGAAAATCAAAAGTGAAGTGGTCCCAAAGCGTTTGAATTTTGTCAGTCTGTCACAAAATGATGAGATCAAGTATAATGCTGAAGTGCGGAATCGTTTTCAGTTATTGACGAAAGTCGTGAATAAATCTAAATATGAAATATTTAGATATGCACAGACTCAGCAAGGGAAGTTATATCTGTGAAGGAGCAAAGAAGAGGTCAGAAATAGATAACAAATAACATCATATTTCTAATGATTGAACGAAGGAAAGTGAAAGGCTGCAATTCATATAGATACAACAAGCTAAATAGAACAATCAAAAACTGTACTTAGAGGCAAAAAAGAAATGGTTAAATGACAAGTGCGAAAGCATTGAAAAGATCAAAAACAGTAATGCAAATGCAATGTATAAAAACATCAAAGAAACCCACTGGAAAAAGGGCTTGTACGGTTTCTGGATGCATAAAAGCTAAATCCGGTAAAGTAATCTTAACGAAAGATAAAGTACTTGAAAGATAGACTGAATACATTAACGGTCTTTTCGACAATTTCCGTAGAGAAACGCCTCCTATTAAAAATGACGTAAAAGAATCAAAGTTACTTAGATCTGAAGTTCGTGCCGCTCTTTCCAAAATGAAATTAAATAAAGCGCCAGGCCCAGATGATATAGTTGTTAAAGAAATTAAATGCCTTGATGAATTTGGCATTGAAAAAGTGACAGAAATTTTTATTGAGATGTATAAAAGCAGTTAAATTCCTGAAGATCTATCCAAGGCAATATTTATTGCATTGCCTAAAAAACCTTATGCAACCAAATGTGAACTACATTGAAAAATCAACTTGATGAGTCATCTTACAAAACTTCTCTTATGAATTTTAATGATGAGAGCATGAAGCAAAATCAAATCTGAAATTTCGAATGTTCAATGTGGTTTTGTGGCGGATTGTGGCACAAGAAACGCCATTTTTATGCTACAAATGATCAGTGAACGAGCGATTGAAATGAAAAAAGCTTGTTTTTTATGTTTTGTCGATTACTCTATTGCTTTCATAGCGTGATACACGGGAAGCTTATGGAAATAATGGAAAATTTTGACATTGATGGTAAGTTAGCTGATGATAGAGCTCTTATAGCGGAGTCAATTGAAAAACTGCAAACAATTGTTTCCAAACTGGTCTTTGAAAGTTAAAAGAAAGGCTTGCAAATTAACATCAACAAAACAGAGTGCATGGTTGTCAGTAAAAGAAAAACCGCCCCGATCTGCTCCATAATCATTAATGGTAAACAGGGGAAACAAGTTAACAGCTTTATTTATCTCGGAACTGATCACCTCAGGTTTAAAATGTAATGCAGATATTAAACGAATGATAGCTATGGTAAAAGATGCATATTCTAAAATGTAAAACATCCTCACCAATATTAAAATCAGAATATCAACAAAATTAAAACTGTTGTAGTGTTACATTTTTTTTGTGCTCACTTATGTGTGAGTCCTGTGAGTCTTTGACAATTTATAAAGAAATGGAAAAAAAGGATTATTGCTGCTGAGATGTGGGATTTTGAGAAGAATTATGAACATTAATTAGATCTCTCATACCTCCAATGAAGATGTATTAAAACAGTCCGGTTATGAAAAGAGGAAATTACTACAATAATCCGACGGAGGCAGTTGAAGTTTTTTGGTCATATCATGAAAAAGGAAGGAATGTAAAATCTCACAACTACTTGAAAGATTACAGAGAGAAGAAATCGCGGTCAACAATGAATTACATACATTGGTGAAGTCCTTGTGTCACTTGTTAAATATCACCATATTTGAACTACTACAAAGAGTTAAAGGTCGGGTTTTCAATGTCTATAAAGGATAAGGCACGAGAAAGAAAGAAGAAGGAAAGAATCGATTGAAAAAGCGAAGTTCTCTAGTGAAATTAGACAATTGATGTGAAATTTTTTATAAATATTCACCTAAAAATTTCTGGAGTGCTGGCCTTTCAGCAGAACGTGAACTTTCTTGTAATAATACAAAAGGCATTTTCGATATCATGCAGCATGAAATAAGTGGACGAAAAATTTCTGGAGTTCTGGCCTTTCAGCAGAACGTGAACTTTCTTGTAATAATACAAAAGGCATTTTCGATATCATGCAGCATGAAATAAGTGGACGATGTACGAGTTACGTGATCTCAACTCCAATTTTGGATGTGGAAAATTGATTGAAAAAGAATGAAAACAATTTGTATAAATTTAGGCATTTTTATAATAAATACGTAAATGTAAAAAGTCTTTGCGAGATGGAACCGATTAGACCGATTGCCAGGACAACCCTACAGTCGACCCAACTAATCGTTGCAACACCCCCTCCCTGCCTGGATGTCCACACTGGTTTTTTATCATCAAAAAAGCCCATCCCGGCCAGTCTGCTCCGTTTCCTCCTAAGGGCTGGCATCGAGTCAAACCCTGGCCCCAAAACCTGGATTTCCCTTGCCTGCAACAAGAAAATCAACAAAACCAAATTCTCAACTCGTTGCAGAACCTGCTGCAAATGGTTTCATTTAGTAAATTGTGTGACCAATATCAACGGTTATTACCAACCTCTGTAATGACTGCCTTCACCCGTTTCAAATTCGAGTGGATCTACGGTGCCAGATATGATTCCTTAGCGGCCATCAACCACAAAAAAACAGTTCAAACCCGCCCAACATAAAGAACAAATCATCAACCAAATCTACCGGACATTTCAACATCCTTCAATTGAACTGTAACGGTATCGAAAACAATTAAGAAGAAATCGTACAACATTTAATAGAACACCACATTCACATAGCAGTTATCCAAGAATCTAAGTATTCAAAAAGTTTAAAAGATCCAGTTTTCAGAGACCGTGGGAACGGACAAAGGGATGGTCTACTCATTCTTATCCATTACAACATTTCTTACACGATCAAGCTACTACTCGATCAAGCAAAAAAAGAGAATCAAGCCATCACAGTCAGGGCTAATGACACATGTATCAACATTGTAAACATCTACATCCCTCCGGAATCCGTCTGTCCTTCCAATTTTACAGCTTTAATACTACAATTTCTGACCATCTTGAACCTGGCCCTGCTGGGAGACGTGAATGCCCATGACAAACTCTGGCACTCAAGTTTGGAGAATTCCAAGGGGAGGCCCTGGCCTAGTAGATAAAAAGCTCAGGCCCCACAACTCGTCCCCGGCCACTTCGCCCCCCACAACTCGCCCCCGGACTATTCACTCCAGTCAAACGAAAATGACCATACAAATGCTAACTTTAATTCAAACTATCAAAAACAGATACACTATAAAAGACGCTGAAAAGATTTAAAAGATACAAAATAAAATACACATTCAAAATTCAAAACTGTACCTCTTAAGTAATTAATAACGTTCCCATTCGGAGTTTGATAATTTTTATAATTCGTAGATAATAACTTATTAATTCGTACACAAAAAAATTAATAATGTACAGTAATGTTATTTAGTCTACGCGCGTTTGGCTGGTATGCTGCCTCATTTACTTTTGCTGCTGAATTACATTACTGAACTGGCATGTCGATTGCAATCGCTTAAGAGGATGGCAGCAATGCGTTAAGAAAAATTTGTTCATATTTCGTTGCTCTAATTTATTTTTAAACATAAAAACGACGGGTTTAAATTAGCGAATATTTATTTATACAAAAAAAATGTTTTTTCGAAAATTTTTTGTTTTGTACTGCAAGTATGTATTATGTATTATTGAATGTATTATTATTAGTCTATTATTGTAATTTTTTTTTGTTTGATTTTAGTCATGGTGGTTTTCGCAAGTACTTTTGTTACTTTTTTGATCTCCTGACTTTTTTTTGTCACAACGGAAATTTTCTTCCTAAAAAACTTATTCGACAAATCCATGCAAACCTGCAGAATTCCAAACATCAACAAAAAAACAAAAATTATCCCTCTCTTCAAACCCGGTAAACCAGATAGCGATGCAAAATCTTACCGCCCAATATCCCTTTTATGCCCGGCCGCAAAAGTTTTTGAAAAATGCCTGCTGCCGATCATAACTGCTCACCTCTGGCGATCCACCAACATGGTTTCTGTCCAGACCGTTCAACAACCTCGGTACTCATCATGATTATCACTGACATCGCTAACAGCCTCAATCAGAACCATCTAACCAGCTCACTGTTCAATTCTCACAGTGCTGGATCTTACAATGGCCTTCGACGCGGTCAATCATCAAACCCTTCTTTCCGACCTTCTGTCATTATCACTACCAAGGTCATTTGTTCACTGGCTTTCAAATTATCTGCATGGACGATCCACAGAGTTTCGACAACACCTTTCCAAAAAACGCATCATCCACTTACTAGTGCCACAGGACTCGGTATTGTTGCCAACTCTGTTTAACTAATATGTTTCTAAAGCCCCAGAATCCACACAAGTTATAATCAATTCATACGCCGACGTCCAGATGCAGACATTTTGACCCACCGGTTCAACCTGCCGAAGCTCCATGATTTCTTCAATGAAAGAAACCTAGATATCTCCGCCTCCAAGACTATCGTCACTCTTTTAACATCTCAGACATCACAATACCACACTACCACCCACAAATCAGAATCAACAATCAGCTCCTTCATCTTGAACAGGATCCAAAAATATAAGGCCTGATGCTTGACAATGCAGTTATTCTCTCAACATCGCAAGATGACAGCATCCAAGGCCTCCAAAAAGATCAATTTTTTAAAGGCTCTCAGCGGCACCTTTTTCGGCCAGGACGAGAAAACTTCGCTGAAGACTTACAAAACCATCTGTCGCATCGCAATTGAGTACCCCTGCCCGGCATGGGCCACGCTGACGTCTGACATTAGCTTCAACCGGCTCCAACGTCGCTCTATGCTGCTCTATGCGGGTGATCACAGGATGTCATATCATCGCATCTGAACCAAATGCTATTAGTGAAGCTGCACTCGAAAGAAGAAAGACGTTTTTCCAATTTTCAGAGTGGCACTTCAAATACTTCTTACCATATCTGTACCAACTGCGAATTGTGAACGATCTTTCAGCAAATTAAAACTAATTTCTACATATCTAAGATCAACAATGGGACAAGTTCGCTTGAATGACATTTTATTTTTAAGCGCGGAAAGAGAAAAATTTGAAGTTATTGATTTTAATGAAATACATTGATGCCTGTTTGCGTCCTCATAGGCAAGAAAAATATAGGAGTAGTACTTATTTATTTGCATTATTTTACTTGCATTTTGGTCATAAATTATTATAATACACAATTTTGATTAGCAAACACACAATTTTAGTTTGATAAATTTCAAATAAGTATTGCTATGCAAATATAAATAAGTTGCCTCTTTCAATTAAATAAACTGAAACAACAACTTCAACGAACCAACATGAAAATGCTCCGATGGATGCAACGATTTAGTCTGAAGGACCACGTCAAATCTACCGAAATCCTGCGTAGATGATATAAAGGACGAATGCCGGCAACACCGTCTGCGGTGGTTTGGTCATGTCAAACGAAGTGGAAACAGTGCCATATCTTCTCTTGGAGATTTTGAAGTACCTGGCACACGTCCCAAAGGCAGTCCAAAGAAGTTCTGGTCGCAAACAATCGAGCAAGACATGAAAGCTCTAAATTTAAATGAAATGGATACAACTGATCGTCTAATTTGGCGCAAAAAGTTGATGGCAAAGAGAACAACGTCCTACCTCGAGGAACCGGATCTCTGGACGCAAAACGAAGATTGATTGATTGCCTCTTTCGATTGCATAACTTTTCTCTTATTCATTTTTTGTGATCATCTAAAAAAAATACATTTTACGTGGTGGGGAGGATGCCAAACAAGAATCATGCACCGGGCGCCAGTTTTGGGCTGAGCTCAGTTGAATCTTTAGAAATTGGGCTATATAAATTTGATTTATCAATTGATTGATTGTTTGTTTGTTTGTTGGACTTACATTTAGACTTACTCTATCAGAAATAAACTTCATTTCAAAGATTTATGTTCATTAAATGCATGCTAGTAATTTTTATATTTTTTTAATAAATGATGTTACAATTGAAAAAGATGATTATGAAGTTTTTTATTGTTACACAGATGGATTCAATGAAGTCACTAGCTGATGGCATGAATCATGACAACAACGATGGTCATTATAATCATAATAGCCATCGGGTACGCTATTCAATTTATTTTAAATGAAAGTTTCTATATTTTTTTCAATTTGACCTTATTGAGGAATTTTTTTATTTGAGATTTTTCTTCATCATGCACACTGTTCAGTTCTGTTGGCATTTACTTTATAATTTTCATTAAAAATGAAAATCTAAATAAAGAGCATGATCAATTAAATTTAAATCTCAATCCAAACTGAAAAATTTTTAAGTAAGTGTAATTAACGCAGAAAGTAATTCATGTTTGAAAACAATTAGTGGATAAAACATTTTATTTAATCACAAAAAAATATGCAGTAATATTTTATCTAAAAGTTTGAGGTCTTTTCAAAATCTTCAACAGCTAACAATTTATAAAAAAAATAGATGTTAAAATTTTTTTCTCATCTTCTTATATATGCTAGCCTTTCTGTCGTGTTGATAAGCGTTAAATTAATTTGAATTTAATTAAACAAATTTAGCTCAATTTCAGTTTCAATTCCAATTAAGTAGTTGCCTTCACTAGCTCGTTTATTAAAATTTTTTAACATAAGAAACCTGAAATCTGAAGATGTGGTGGTTTTTAACTAAAGTACTCTTGCGAATAAATTTTAAATATTTGCAATAAATGCGAAGAGTAAAATTTTTGGATGACAATGAATGAATTATTCAGGAGATAAAACTAAATTATTTAATTAATAAATTAAATAAAAATGTAAATAATAAATATAGACAATAAATTTCAACGACAAATAAATAAACTTTAATAGAAAGAAGGGTTTTTGAATTTTGTGAAGAGTGTTTTCTTTAACTTGTTTCATATTCTGTACAACATATTTATTAAATTCATGGAGTTAACAAATATGAATACTTAAAAAGTATGATAGAGCATGGCTAGCTATCTTGATATAATAAATTATTTTGCTTGGCTTAACTAGCCCACTTACTTATGGAAAAGTCAAAAATCAGACAAGACTAGTAAAAAAAACACTAATCTAGTAAAACAAAGTCTATCAATGGTTAGTTTTCCGTTGCAATGAGTAAAGAAACAACAGTAAAATCAACTATCTTATGTTTTCTGTCTTAACGTAAACACACACTTCTATGGGTTGAATGTGATGCAAATCGGTTCTTTTTTTTCTCGTGCTTTTTCCTTTCAGGACATTGGCGACCATCGACCTTTTCAGGACATTGGCGACCATCGACCTTTTCAGGACATTGGCGACCATCGACCTCTGCAAAATCCAATCTTTAACACATTGTAGCAGTTGAAATGTGGTGATATTCAACAAATTACTCAAGGACTTTACAAAAGTAGTTCGTTGGACCGCGATCTCTTCTTTCTGCAATCTTTCCAGTTGTTGTTAGAGTTTCCATTCTTCCTTCCGCATAATGTGACCAAAAAAACTGCTCCCGTCTGATTATTTGTAGTAATTTCCTCTTTTATTAACCAAGCTGTTTTAATACATCTACATTAGAATTATAAGAGGTCAAAATAATGTTCATAATTTTCAAAAACCGCATTTCAGCAGTATCAATCTTTTTCTCCAAAATCCGTAAATCAATTTAAAGTTCTGTTTGACAAGTTCACTATTGGGTTAGAGCTGAGGTACGAATGGCGTACAAATTATCCAGTTTGATTGATATTTAGATTAGCATATGAGTATGAGTGTGGATATGCTTGAGACGTGTGTGTGTGTCTGTGTATTACTTTTATTTTTACTTGAACAATTTATGCTTTCATTTAATTAACTAATTTTTGGAGATTTGGGCTTGTACACCTGCGCTCATTAAATTTTTTCTGTTATGTTATGTTATGTTATGTTATGTTGTTATGTTATGTTATGTTATGTTATGTTATGTTATGTTATGTTATGTTATGTTATGTTATGTTATGTTATGTTATGTTATGTTATGTTATGTTATGTTGTTATGTTATGTTATGTTATGTTATGTTATGTTATGTTATGCTATAAGAGCTTTATCATCAGCATATCTTACATTGTTTATATTCACGCCTCCAATGAATATTCCAGGTAGATCTTCTTTCTTTCTATAGTGATTGAACAAGTTGGGAGAGTATATACAGCCTTACCTAACAATCAATCAATCAATCAATCAATCAATCAATCAATCTTCGTTTTGCGTCCAGAGACCCGGTTTCCCGAGGTAGGACGTTGTTCTCTTTGCCATCAACTTTTTGCGCCAAATTAGACGATCAGTTGTATCCATTTCATTTAAATTTAGAGCTTTCATGTCTTGCTCGATTGTTTGCGACCAGGACTTCTTTGGACGGCCTTTGGGACGTGTGCCAGGTACTTCAACATCTGCAAGAGAAGTTATGGCACTCTTTCCACTTAGTTTGACATGACCAAACCACCGCAGACCTACCTAACACCTTACCTAACACCTTTCTTTATTTCAACAAAACTAGTCATCCTGTTACTAAATTTCATCGCTGCTCTTTGTCCTCAGAGGTTTTTATTAACTCTCGTGTTTTTTGCATCAATGTCCAAATTTTCTATTATTTTCATAAGCTCCACTTGTTTCACGCTATCAATAGCTTTGGAGTAATCGACAAAACATATAAACAAGTCTTTCTTTATTTCAATCGCTCGTTCACTAATTATTCATAGCATAAAGATAGCGTTTCTTGTACCACAATCCTCCACAAAACCACAAATTTCAATCTGATTTTGCTTCATTATTATTATTTAATGCATTTGTATAGCGCCTATTAAATGAAATCTCACAGGCACTCTCAAAATCCAGTAAAAATAAATTAAAGAAATGATTGTCAAAAGTCAACAGTTTATCCACAATGTACATTAAACGAATATACAATGTATACTTGCATAATATAAAAAAAAGCGGGTAAATGAAAAAAAAAATTAAGTCAAATTAACAAATCATAAATTTAAAGTTTGCAAATAAAACATGACACTAGTTCCATATCATCGTTTCACATCAGAACATGTCCTGACATTGACATCGGCATTTCTGGTGCTGCCACTTTTGCTGTTGTTATTGAAAACCCAATTCCTAACCTGAACATAATCAGGCCAAGAACTTGATCTTTCAACTATTTCCGCATACTTCTCATCTACACACAACCGGAATGACGTAGAAGGGTGGGTTTCATCAAGTTTTATTTTGTCATCTCTCCTCTTGAATACAGGGTAGCAAGACAAAACTTTAACATCAATTGACTCAAGGTGGTCAACAACATTGGATGCACAAGTCTTTGAAACATTACCAATGTGATAAAATTTTTTCCGATATACAACTTTACTAGCTGATATTTTATATTGCGTAGGCCTATGAGGTTCAACAGTGGTCTTAGATATTGCATGACAACATGGACTTGTATTAGTTGATAGTAAAATGTTTCTTCTTTTCTTGCGTCTGACTGTTATAAAATTTCCATCATCATTGTTACCTTCTTCAACAATGTCAGACAAATTTTTAGCGACTGATGTCTCAGCATTTGAATCTCCATCAGCGCGTACATCACTGCACACGATACTGTTCACCTTTTTTGGACATCACTCAGTATATTGCCATGCTCTTCAAGAAATTCCAGAACGGCCGGACTATTTTGAATAACACTTTTTTGCAACCTCACCTGTTCAGCTGACAATTTCTCGAATCTATTGTCACAATTAGTAACTTTCCACAAGTCATCAGCGAGAAAACAGGGAAATTTGTCTTCGACATTAGTTTCAAAAATTAACCGACATATACTAAGAAATTCGTCCCACATTTTATTCTGGTCAACGTCTTCGGAAAACTCCGGCAAGCTGAGCGATAATGTGCTGGCTTCATGATGCAAAAACTTTGCGCTTTTTTTTTACATCGTCAACTTCAAAAAATTCGCAAAGAGAAGTTTTCATTTCCTTTTCAATTATCTGGTTTCGAACATACCAAATATAACACAATAACGTATCAATTACGTATTTTTTATCGCTATTAACCTCGACAATTATTCCTTCCGCCATTTTCCAAAGATGCTCTCATCATTAGAATAATTTTCAAGAGAAGTTTTGTAAAATGACTCGTCCATCTGATTTTTCGATTGCGTTAGGTTTTTTAGGCAATGCAATAAATATTAACTTGGATAGATTTTCAGGAATTTCGCCGTTGTTTTATATCTCATTAAAAATTTCTGTCAATTTTTCAATGCCAAATTCATCAAGGCATTTAATTTCTTTAACAACTCTATCATCTGGGCCTGGCGCTTTGATTTCATTTTGGAAAGAGCGGCACGAACTTCAGATCTAAGTACCTTTGCTTCTTTTACGTCTTTTTTAATCGGAGACTTTTCACCACGAATATCATCGAAAAGATCGTTAATGTCCATTTTTCAAGTACTTTTTATTTCTCTAAGATTACTTTACCGGATTTAGCTTTTATGCATCCAGAAACTGTACAAGCTCTTTTCCAGTGATATCTTTTATGTTTTTATACATTGCATTTGTATTACTGTTTTTGATCTTTTTATTGATTTCTCATTTGTCATTCAACCATTTCTCCAATTTCAACCAATTTTTTTGATTGTTCTATCTATCAAGATTGTAGCCTTTCACTTCCTTCGTTGATTCATCAGAAATACGATGTCATCTGTTATCTATTTCTGACCTCTTCTTTACTCCTTCACTTGCTGATTCTGTGAGGGCGTATCTAAATATTTCATATTTAAATTTATTTATGATTCCGCACTTCAACGTTATTCCTGATCTTGATCTCATCATTTTGTGACAGACTGACAAAATTCAAACGTTTTGAGGCCACTTTACTTTTGATTATCTTTAACTTTATCCTGATTTTACAAACAACTGGGGTATGCTTACTGCCACAATCAGCTCCAGGACAACTTTTGCATTATAAAACCGTCTATTTATAGTAATGTAATCATATTTCTGTAAATAAAACTATTTTACACATCGTTATGAACAAAATTTTAAACGGTTTTATTATGTTTATGAATTTGAAATAAACGTTTTAGAGTTTTAAAAATTTTACATTTGGTTATTGATTTTTTGTTTTTTGCAAAATATTTATAATTATAATTGACATATATAAATATGACAATTCTTAGAATCATAACATGCCAATGTTTTTCCATGCAAGTAAAGAGGCTACCATTTTATTTTCTGTTTGGTCTGTCTCGTCCATCTCTGGTTTGTTTTATGTCATTCTTGTTTTTTTTTATTTTTTGGTAAATTAAGTTTCCACAAATCTTAATTAACTATATTTACGTTAACTTTTATTCATCAAAAATTTTAGACATGGGCGTTACTGAACCAATATATCGAAAATTATCGATGTTAATGTTGATGATAACATCGGTACCGATACCGACATCGGTAATGAAATTATTTATTACAGATACCAATCATCGGTAATGAATCATTTACCGAACCGAAAATTACCGTTAATTAAGGAAATCAATCAATCAATCTTCGTTTTGCGTCCAGAGACCCGGTTTCCCGAGGTAGGACGTTGTTTTCTTTGCCATCAACTTTTTGCGCCAAATTAGACGATCAGTTGTATCCATTTCATTTAAATTTAGAGCTTTCATGTCTTGCTCGATTGTTTGCGACCAGGACTTCTTTGGACGGCCTTTGGGACGTGTGCCAGGTACTTCAACATCTGCAAGAAAAGTTATGGCACTGTTTCCACTTCGTTTGACATGACCAAACCACCGCAGACGGTGTTGCCGGCATTCGTCCTTTATATCATCTAAACCAGCACGATACAGGATTTCGGTAGATTTGATGTGGTCCTTCAGGCTAATTCGTTGCATCCATCGGAGCATTTTCATGTCGGTTCGTTGAAGTTGTTGTTCCAGTTTGGTTGTCATTGGCCATTCTTACAATTTTCTTGTAATTTTAGAAAATTGTTATAATTATAACAATGATAATCCAAGAAACGAATTTTTTTTGCTGCCTTTTGGACATCAATGCGGCATCATCAATCAAGCCTACAGGAACAGAACCAAGTTCTAATTAAGCGAGCCTAATATATTTTGTCTAAGCGAGCCTAATATATTTTGTCTAATCGAACCAAAAAGTTGGCTGTTTTCATTTTTCATAGCACAGTGAATACAGCTAATTTTAAAGGGTAATTTATAATTTATTTATCGTGGATGCGTTACGTGAGTTTTACATTGCATCGTTTTAAATATTTTTTTCATGTGTGTACGATGTACGCACATTTGCCTCAGTATAAAAGTGTACTGTGACGTTAAAATTATTTATTTTTTGAAAACTCTATATTCATTTTGAACAAATAAGGAATCAACAGAATAGAAACACGGGATATTTGAACATTTGGCCACTTACACAACATATCAATTCAATAAGTTTCTTGTTCAAATTAAACTGATGAAAACTGAAAATGCGGTGATATTTCTTAACAATTGTATTTATGACAGTTTCAATCTTAATATTGAGGTTTTCGTTGAGCATTTCAATATTTCTAATATTAATTTTATAATTATTATCCAATTTTTTTGAAATTAATAAAAAAATATACCTATATATGCGCTGATGATGAGTAAAATCGAAATAGGACCTAAACGCTTCATCATGAACACTAGTGATTTTTTTTATTAATTTCAATAAATCGGATATTAATTATAAAATTACAATTAGAAATATTGAAATGCTCAACTGTGAACTTTCAAAAGCTAAAAATTCGGTAGATTTTTTCATATACATATATATATATATATATATATATATATATATATATATATATATATATATATATATATATATATATATTGTATTGCAGAATTTGTACAGCGTCTCTTGTGAGTTGACTTCAGAAGCGCTCTCTACTTTCTTCGCTGTTGAATGTTGAAAAAATGAGTCTTTAACCGTTTTTTGAATTCACTTCGACTCATGATGTTGAAATTCTTTAGATCAGCAGGCAACGCATTCCAAATCTGGGCAAATGCTACTGAAAATCTTCTTTTTCCAAAATGAGAAGATATGAACTTAGGAATGTGTAGGTCACCGCGGCTTGGTGATCGTAGTCGACCCCTATACTGAATCTCTGATACTGAATGAATCTGTTCCCTCAGGTAGATTGGTGCATCTCCAGTATATATATGAGTTGAAGAGTTTTCGTCCTGTGTCAAATTTGTCGTTTATAGCAAAGATTGTTGAAAGGGTGGTTACTAATCTTTGCTTTCAGTCGGGGTAGAGAAGATTCCACTCTACGGAAACGGCACTGTTAAAGCTGTTGTCAACGTTATTTCAGGCATCAGATTCAAAGCAAGTGACATTGTTAGCTTTACTTGATATGAGTGCTGCCTTTGATTGTGTTGATCACAATATACTTGTTCAAAGAATGACAACAAGCTATGGAATCTCAGGCACTGTGCTAAGATTTTTTAAGTCGTACTTAAATGATAGATCACAGCGGATATTTGGTAATGAAAATTCGGATGAAGAAAAAATGTTAACTGGCGTCCTTCAGGGATCGGTGTTGGGGCTATTTCTCTTCTTGTTGTATACTGCTGATGTGTTTGACATGATGGAGAATCATAAGATGGAGTGTTATGCGTATGCAGATGATATTCAGTTAGTGTCATGTGCTCCTGTTGAAAAGTTTGATGATTTAGCTGAAGGACTGAAAGATGCGTTGGCTGCAGTAAATATTTGGATATCACAAAATGGAATAAAATTGAACAAAGATAAAACCAAATTAGTGCCAATTGGTACATGGCAGCGGACATCAAATATACATCAAGATGCACTAGAAATGGATGATGCCATAGTTGAATTTGAAAGATCATCCACAATTCTGGGCTTCACACTTGATGCTAATCTGACCATGCAGGATCATATACAGGGTGTCGTAAAGTCATGTTGTTTTCATCTACGTCAGTTGCAGCGCATTAAGAGATTTGTCAGCAAGCCCGCTTTGATGGCATTAGTTCATTCATTTGTCCACACACGTTTGGACTACTGCAACAGCCTACTGTATGGTGTTTCAGCGAATGAAATTGCACTGTTGCAATCTGTACAGAATAGGGCAGCTAAAGTAGTAATGGGTGAACGAAAGTATGATCACGTGACTCCATTGATAAAGGATTTGCACTGGTTGGTAATTGAATATCATTTCTTCGATATGTCCAATATAGAAGTTTCAGAAGAGTATTCTCAATGGAGAGCCCATTGCTACACTGTCTATTTGCTGATATAGTGTGTTACCCCGGCCAATGAAGATTGATATTAAGTCGGTCATATTTCAAAGTTTTTCAATTTCTAATTTGGCGTGATCACATTTTAAACGTCGCACCCTAAGATCATGACTATAAAACTGCTATTGAAAATGCAGTCTGACCTCCGTACAACGAACTTGATTGTTCCTAGAAAATGTTTGCTATATTGAAATTTCGTTATGTAAAATTTGTTCGGGAAAAAAATTCTATATTGCTCAAAAGGTGTTTATATGCTATATGTGTGCTTATAGGTGTTTATATGTTTATTTATGAAGAACAATCTTTTAGCCATCTATTTTTTTATGAAAAAAAGTAATAATACATAATTGCTAAAAATATGAAAAATAACATATTATTTAATGTACATTGCAAAAAGCATGCCTAAAACTGTAACGCAAAAATATAACTTCACTATGTTCACTATGTTAAGTTCACTATGTTCAACAATTTTTTTTAAATTGTCGGATATTTCTTTCAACTTTTATAAATTTTTTTCGTTATAGAGAAATTATTTTCGTTCTATAGAAACAGTATTATACGTGAAATTCCAAGGGATATAAAAAAAGTTCGATATATAGAGATTTTCGTTGTATAAAAGATGGTTATTTGGTCGTCTGACTATATTTAAACCTCATATTTTTATTGCCATTTAATATTAATGAATTGTCTGTTTTTTGTCAAAGTTATACCTGGCGAATCATGTGTCGCCCAACATAGACTCCTTGTGGCAGACCTAGTTGTCAAACTGTCTAAACAAATGCCTCGGAAAATCAAAACGTGGAAGCTGAAATGCAATATTCATCGAGAAATATTTCAACAGATTGTCGCCACACAGTTAGACCACCAATCGCAATCCAGTACAGATTGGATGGAGTACATACAAAACCGTTTTGATAAACGCTGCAACTACAGTTTATGGGAAAACTGGTACAAAACGCCAGCATGAACGGGACACGTGGTGGTGGAATGACCGTGTACAAAATACAATAGCTGAAAAGAAAGCTGCATACAAGCAATGTTGACAACAAAAGTTGTTATCAAAAGCGAATATCCGAAGTTTTTATTATTACGTCAACAACAAACTGTTTTCTAAACCTCAGATTACCAGCTTGAGAACTAATAAT